CGTTGATAACGCTAAACTCAGATTTCATTACATGTCCTTCTTCAAGAGGAATTATCACATTTGCTTTCAATCCCTGTTTTTGAAAAATAAAAAATAATTTTGTTCAATACCTCTAGAAATTAATATATTAACATACTATACATACCGTAATAATAAATTTAACAAAATCTCTTCGAAAAGGAAGTCTGCATTTCAAAAACCATACAGCAATTACATGGTAAGCCAGAGATACTGTATAATGGTTATATTTGAAAGGATTGGTATATGGCAAGAGTATTGCAAATACAGACATGTATTGATCTCCAATAAAACTAGCAAAGACTTTTGGAAGTCTAGTTAGAGCTAAAATAGAAATTTATATTTATAAAATTGGTATAACAGCTTAAATAAAAGAATTTCATTGAGCACTCGTCTTTTAACAGCAGAGAAAAACTTACTTGATAAGAATTCTATAATAGGTATAGCAATGTAGACTGTCGCAGAAATTTTTGATAAATTTAATAGCACTTCAGACAAAAGTTTATTCATTGCGTCACGCATTTCTAATGTGCAAATTGTAAGACTGGTTACACATTGGCTTGCGCACTTTGCTGTGAGACCAACCTAAAGATTAATTAAACTTTTTGTCATTCCGAATATATTTCGATGTAGAGAGATAATCAAATTTTTTCATGCATTATAATCCTTATCCCTATTAATTATTATTTGTGCAAAATGCATATCTTACCTCTAGACATTTTATTAAACTTTGTTGTAAATAAGGTTCTAAATGTGCGTGATATGATGCTAAAGAAGCTAGTACCGGAAAAACAAAGACTCGAAATTCGGAGAGAGTAAATTTAGGTGGAACATTATAAAGTGACTCAGGAAGACGCAAACTTTTATCGCTCACCTAAAAGATTATATTTATAAAAAATTAATGAGAGTACTTGAGGATAATACAATTCTTATAGAAAAGAGACAAAGAATACAAAGTTAACTAACCATTGAACATAAAGCTGCTGCAAAAAAATCAATGTCATTACTATGACGCGATAATACCAATGCTCGATTCTGCATCACTTGAGGTAATTCTTTCAATATAAGATTTAGAACTGTCCAATCTGTCAAGAAAAAAAAATATATATGTATATATATTTATGCGTATATTACATTACATGTCGTGTGTGTACGCGCGCGCGTTTAATTATTTTAAAACATTACCTTTTTCTTGTTTGATACATGAAATAATAGTTTTACATCCATGAGTCAAAGATATTGGGGTAATGTGACAAGATAAGTGTTGCAATGGCACTGGACTTGCTGGTGGAGGACTGTTGCCTCCACCTGTGTTATTCATACGTTCAACTGTACCATGTTCCAAAACAAGATACGGGCTAAATCGTGTTACAGTATTTGATGCATCTAATATACCAACGTGATACAGAGAATTTGCTCTGATTTTTAAAAAACACTCAAAGATCTGTAATATGTTACATTAATTAATACATATTCCGAAGTTTGTCCTATTAACAAAATAATTACCAATAAACGTGTTTTTGATACATCACGGAAGACTGAAGGATCTTTGTAATGTTGCTCAAGATGATTCACTAAAATTTTATAAGCACAAATTGCGTGACTCGATGGTAAACGATAAATTTTAGAAATGAATATCTTTATAACTCCAATAACAGCTGCTTTTACATCTTTAATATCGGCTTCCGTAGAGATTGAAGTGTCTGACGTAAAAGGCTTGTTGATTATCTAAAATCAACAAATTATTTCATTATAAATATAGATACGTATAAAAACACACGCTCATTCTTTCCACTAAACAATTCTATTACCTTTTCCAGGATGTCTAAAAGTTCAATGCATCGTTTAGTATCACATTCCAAACAAAGATCTATTAATAAATTTGCCGTGACGGTGCGTATTGTAATATCTAGATCTGTATCCACATGTTGCGTGTATGGTACAACTATTCGCTCAATAAGCTCATCTTCATATCTGGACCTAAAAAATAATGTTTATATTGCATATATATATATATATATATATATATATATATATATTACATGCACATGTATTTGTATATAACAGTAAATTACAGCAACGGTTGAATAAAGAGAAATTTACAATACCTATTAACATAAATTACGTTAGTTACAACATCGAGAACCTTCATTCTAATGGTTGTACGTTTTTCATTTTTATAATAACGTTCCATTAGAGATCCTAACTTGGTCTGCCATTGGTAATATGTAGGGCCTATCATAGAAGCTCTGTATTCAATTAATTTTAATACAGATTCTTCCTGAAAATAAAAAGTCAAAAGTAATCATTTGTAAATATATTTTACACTACTTTGCATTTATATGTCGAGCACTTACAGGTCGAGAATCGCTACAACGTTCAACAAGATCATAGAAACGTTGAATGCAACCATTATAATTGTTTGTATCAAGTAAACTTTCAATATTAGTAATCGTCTCATGTAAACTTATAGAAACCTGTTTGGTTGCTGGCTGATTACTGGTTTCTGAGACAATGTATAAAAATCATAATTTTATTATACACAGTAGCTATATATTATTATATTATTATTATCTTTGGAATGAGAATAATTATAGCATTTTAATAAGCTTTACCAGTATGAGTAATAATTTCCTCTATGATATCAAGAATAATGCTCCATGTAGGGTCCCATAATTCGTTACCATATTTATTCACCAATCTTTGTATCGATAAGGTAACTTCGTACATAACAATTGGATGATTGCATTGTAAAGCCTGTTAATATAGAGATCATACATTTTATTACATTTTATTCAATTATTGCACATATATATACCTAAATATATTATGCACTAATACGTACTTGATAGAACGAAGGTAAAACAGATGCCGGTGTACATTCTAACTTTGGTATTCTATGCGTACCCCATAAACCCATATTTACATAAAACACTGCACCTCGTAACAGACGAACGTCACGTTGAAAGTTTGTATCTTGTAACAAACGACACATTGTATACAAAGCACAGTGACCCATATGTGTTCCTAATAAATTCCGCATAATCTGTAAAATAACATATATATGCTCTATATTTTACTTATTAATTTTTTAACAAGTAACACACACAAAGTATGTATTTTCTAAATTTATTAAAAGGAAATTATATGTATAACACACATATTGTGGAACAGATAAATTCACTTGTGTAAATAAATATGTAATATATCTATTCGTAACAAGTATTAAAAAAGGAAAAGAGGATTTTACATATTTTTAATATTGAAATATTATTGTTTGTACCTTCCAACTTGTTTGACAATAAGTCTCAACATTTACACTTCTGCACAAGGCTATAATAAAGGTTTGTAATGAATCAGATTGCAAGTTACTGTAACACATAATTGCATCAAGAGCTTCCAAACATCCAGAAACAACTTCAGTATTATTACTAGAATAACACAAATGGGAGATGTACCTGGAAAAAAAAAAAAAAAAAAAATCAATTATGATAATTTGTCGAGTCAAGTTAGTTCAATTCAATTCAATTTGGAAAAGAAAATAGTTTTTAAGATATTTACTGAACAAGGCCAGATATAATATCCTCATCAATATAAGCCGAATTGAATTTGATAACGTTTACAAGAAGAGACAAAACCTCGGCTCCTCTTTTTCCATCCCCTGCCGTTACCGTAGGCATCCATTCTAATAGAAAAGGGCCCATTCTTTCTTCCAAATGTAAAATATCTTTCCCATGTTCTGTTAATGTTTGCAATAATTCCAATCTAAAATATTTAAAAAGCAATAGACAAAACGTGACAGTTGAAAAACAAGGGGAGTAGACATCATTTGTTATAGAATATACCTAGGACCAATATCTTCAGGAATATCATATTCCTTCACTACCATAAAAAACTTTACACGCATCAATGATGAAAGTTTGGAATATTGTCCTTGTACAAGGCATTTTAAAAAATTCAATGTCAAATGCCTATGTTCGCGAGGAACGTCTTTTCCTAGTAAATCTTGAACTAAATTCCACAAACGTTCAGCTGCCCTCTATTATTGCAAACAAATAAGAATAACAATTAAACGTAAAGGATTAGTCTTGTCTTTTTGATGCATGTAGAGAGTATTTAGAACCCCTGCAGTTTTTCTTATATGTATACATACATCTTCCCACTGTTGATTGAGCACTGCCTCACGAAGCTCTTTAATCGCTTTCGTACGATGATGCACTGGACTATCGGGGCTAATTTCTTTTTCGATATCATAAGTCAAAGTAAACTCTTCGCGACTTTTGTAACTTCCTGCAAAAAGACCATCGATATGATTATAAATATATTAGACGTAATGGAAAAACTTGCGATATATGAGACATCCCGAAAACATAATATATTTACCTTTATTTATACGAAAAAATTGTTTTAATTTGTCGTGCAACGTTTTATTGTCTTTGTCTTTCGAATTCATTTTTGACATTTTAGTGTTAAATTTAAAGAAACTTATGCAAAAACGTATCCTATAAATATTATTATTCTGAATACACTGAATATGTCACAGGCAGATGTGATTGAACAATGAGAATACACAGGAACGATCGAACGACGAACGAGACAAGTCAAGACGAATACTGAGTCGGATCGGACGTCGAACGTAAACGTAAACCTCTTAACCAACCGGTGGGCGGTGAGCAATTGAGCATTGGTGAGCAATAATTGAGCATGAGGTGAGTAAACGGAGCGACTGTCCGGTGCATCAGTAATGCCATCTACGTCGTATAAAACGTTAGCTTGTAGCGATTTCGGTTGATCAGCAGAGTTACCACTTGCCAGTCTTGCCACCGTTCAGGGCCGCTCACCAGTGCCATCACTGCCACCTGTGCTGTGTGCACAGCTGCATAGAGCTGGTGCAAGTCAGTGCAAAGGGTGCAGTCAGTACTGTCATCAAGCAATGCACTATGCTGTGCAATCTAATTTTTCAGGACCAAATTGCAAAATCTGGCTTTTTAACAGTTTTCATACCTTTCTAACATATGAGCTAAAAGAAGTCTCATGACAAAATATATGATAGAGTACAGATCAATATGTATCTGCACCGTGAATGAGAGGTAAATGAAAATAAATAAATTGGCTTGTATCGTTCGTGCCGATCAGTGTCGATTTTTAATAAAGAAATTTTGTGAATAACATTCACTAGTTAAAAATCATATATGGAATCAAGAAATAGCTAGAACGAGAATATACTATTTAAGAGATTTTACTTACAAATTTCTTTGTTATAAATTCATAAAAGTATATAAATCTGCAAGAAAAAACGTTTATACAACCATTTTTTATTAGAAGAGGTAGGTAACAATTTTTATTAGGATATATGAAAAGAATATACGCCGCGGATGCTCAATATAATGTCGATGACTATAATAGTTATTGCAGCATATCTTTTCATAAAATTCCAGTATCAATACACACACACACACACATTATTTTCTCTGAATGCACATTATTTTCGTTCCTTCTTTGCTTTATCGTGCCAGATCGCTTGACCTTCCTCGTTTGATTCGTCTTTGTCACGCTCGTTCCATCGTCAGCCTGTTATTCTCTCTCTCTCCCTCGCACCAAGCTTCAAGAATGCGTCAGATCAGAACAGCAAGTCCGTACCGCTGCCAACCGCTGCCAACCGCTGCTGACTGCTGTGAATCCATCATGACTTCAGGCAGATTTTAGTATCGTGGCAACTATTGACGACTTCGTACAGTGTGACAAGTGTACATATATACGGTGTATAGGAACGAGTGGGTAAGCAATGACTAATATATGTATGTACAAGATTGGCACTTATAAATTTTATATATATAATATATATATATATATACACATGTACACAAATTCTCTCTTTTTCTTTCACTTTCTCACTTACAAAATTACATATATGGTCAAATACGTTTCAGAATATATTTTTGTATTTATACATAATAACAACACTCGGTAATCCTTATATTTATTACGGTATGATTATAATTAGAGTCCATCAGTGTTAAAATTTTATGGAAAAAAAAAAAAAAGAAAAAAATTATAATAGAACATATTGACGTGGATGTAAATTGATATTTTTCATACAATTTTTTCTAGCTTCTCGTATGGGAAACGCTCAAGTATAAAAACTGACTTAATTCTTTTATAATCAGTATAATTCACACACTTAATTAGTATATAGTTCTTCGTATAGAAACACGTGACATTTCACCTTGATTGTAATATTTATTTTTAATTTCTCACGATCCTTCTGATGATAATAAGTAAAAGATTGTTACGGACTATATGTAATTATGTGGGAGTGACGCGCGCGCGCGCGCGCGCGCACATGTGTCAATGTGTATAAATCTCCCTCCTCTCGACGCGATATTGCGTCGCGTTTGATCCAAGGATAGCAACAGTATGAGAATACTATGAGGTGTTAAGTTCGGGATCGTCATAATCTCTGCATGTAAAAACCATTAACCTAGCTGACTAAAATTTACTTGTCTGTTTGTAATATTTATAGGACAAATGACGAACCATTTAAAATAGACGAAACGGCTTCTCGATTTCCTTAAAACATCCCGATAAAAATATTCAATCATTTACTGCATAATTTGCACTAAAAAATTTTCTAAAATAACTTTAAAAAGCATCGTCAAAGCGATGATGAAGAGAAAACTTTTATAGAGAATTGGCTATTGTAAATAATACATTAGCAGCTTTTTTTCTCTTCTTCAATGACTATTATTATATAAGCATTTTATTGTATCTCTTTATGAAATTTGTTTTATTTCCAGAAAATGTTTTCGCGCAATATGTTTAATTTTGTTTCGGGAGCATTGCTAATAATCGCCATTATTCCGCATGCAGCATCTTATAACAGTAAGTAAATAAATCTCGTTTAAATTATTACAATATATACGAGATAGTATATGTCAGAGAAAATATAGTCTTTTATTCTTCTCAGAATATGGAAGAACCTGTAAGGACATTGGCTGCCGTAGTGATGAAACATGTGTAATGGCTGAGGATCCTTGTACCGGCTACACAGATAAATGCGGACGATATCCAACTTGTCGGAGGACAAGTGGTAAGAAACGACTTTCCTTAGCTTATTTATCTCGACAATTTCAACAATTGATTTTATAAATAATAAATGCATGTGTACATGTGTATACATACATATGCTTTTATCTTTTAAAACGAAGAAAAAAGCGCACACACACACACACACACACACACACACATACACGAATGTATGTATTTTTTTCTTATTTTAAAAGATAAAGATAAAGTTGCTACTTAACTCTTTATTGATTTAGTAATACTAATGTTAAGTGTGCAATTGCAACTATCATATTTGAGATGCTGGGAAAAATTATTTGTGTGCAAATAAATAATAACTTAGATCAGAAATTAAACAGAGAAAGTTTTATTTCTCTTAAAATTTCTCTATTTTAATTTTTTGCTCGATTATAATAATTTCAATAATATTAATTGTTTCATACATCATATTGACATTTATTTATGATAGAATGTATAATATTTGTACTGTATATTTTAACATCTTTTGAAAATTTTTACAGATGCTAGTTGTACTAGTATGGTTTGCGGAGAGAACGAATATTGTAAGAGCGAAAATGGTGCGCCGAGATGTGTGAGAAAGTCTACAGGGTTAGGTAAGTTATTACAATTTTATATTTGGCATTCAATATCCGACACACATTGCGAGCATGAAAACATAAAAACGATGGGTAATGGCATGAATGAAATGCATAATAAAAGTTCGACTAACAATAAGTAAAATAAATTATTTAGAATTTAAAATTTTTCACGCTTATGAAGAAAAATAGGTTTTCAAAATTATGGATTTCGTGTATTTCATTGCATGTATGGGATTGGAATGAGAAAGGCATGATTCTTAAAAAAGACAAAGCGGAAAAATATATCTTGTTCCTTCGGTCATTTATTACGAGATTGTGATCTCATGATTTCTATATCTACTTTAAAACGTATACTTTTTTATTTTAACCGTAACTATTGTTCAAGTGAATTTTTCCATATGAAAATAATACTTAATATATTATTTATTTATCATCATTACCAAATATCATTGTATTATATACTCTATTATTATATAGTTAATTTACTATTTCTTGTAAATTTCTTTTATAGCTCATGTGCACTAAAGTAAAATTTTGAACGATATACATAAATAAAATGAATTTTATCTTATATCGATATATATTTATAACATAAATTTTTTTAATTTCAATTTTTGGTAATATTTTTATAAATATGAGTACTATTTTTTTATATATTGATTTTATAATAAGTTTATGCATAAAAAATTTTGAACTTTAATTGGGATTTATTCTTAATGATCTTATGGGATTTCTTATGAGATCTGCGAGTAGCTTCTTATCTAATCTTTTATATCTATATTGACATGTTGTCTGGATATAAATTTGTCATACATAATAAAGCAATATATATTGTCCCAGGTTTTCTTCTAATTTTAAATATCTAAAATTGTTGTTAGGATAATAATATTTTGAAAAATATCCATTTGAAAAGATACTTAATTTTTAGAATTTTTTAAACCTAATATTTCTTTTAAATAAAAAATACTCTTCTCGATATCATCCTTGCTCAATCTACTTAAGCAAAAAAAAAATCAGAGTAATATAGCAATAAAATTTGAAATTTTATTGCAATTGTTATCATTTTACAATGTTTTGTATAATTTAACATTCGTGTTCACAAAAAATACGCACAGTACGAAGTGAGTGAGCATCCTTACAGGCTATGAATCAGCTGGTGTTTCTTACGTGAACGGTGAACGAGTGGTGAATGGTGGAAACAACGCGAATCCCTATGCAAATGCCAATGCTCCACCGCTTCCACCAGTACCAGCATATCCGTCTGGTAATAACGGCGAACATCATCGATCTTCTTTTGGAAGCAACTTAGGATATCCACCATATCCCAGTAATACCGGTTCCTCTGCACATGGATACCCACCGTACCCACAATCGACCAACCAAGCCGGTCGCCAGGACTCAGGATATCCACCGTACCCAACACAAAACGGAATGCGTGCACCGGGACAATCAGCTTATCCGGGTTATCCGCAAGACAGATATCCTCAGGCTCCACCAAATTATCCGCATCCGGGATATCAGAATTATCCTTATCAAAATTATCCGAACCAACGTGGGTACAACTCCAATTCGATTTATCGTAGGAATGCTGCATCGGTTGAAGCAGTTGCCTCCATGATCCTTGTTGGATTTTCTGGATTATTCCTCCTTACGATACGATGGTGATCCATCCACTGAAAGTCAGTGTCGTGTTTTATCTTCCACACATGATTATTGTTACGCTATTGTTAATCTTGTTTGCAACATAGTCCATGACTATTTATTAAAGAAAGTATTTTGTAGCAAGTGTTATATAAATTTTTTTGTACAGATATTTTTTTATAATACAAATCAAGCAGGAATATTGATATTTTTAAAATTAAACGTAATTTTATAATATTTCTCTTTACATATTTATAATTGTATCATCATATACATGTATATTTGAAATTAATTATATAACAAATTAAGCGTATATTGACTGTAAATAATTTCATAATATTTTGAGGAAAGCAAATTTTATTCTTATTCAATGATTTTCTTAATTTATTTATGAGATGAAGGAAACTCATTTTCATGCATCATCAGTATCATCTACCCCCTCAATCTACCACCAGTGATTACGAGTATACATACGAGCGATCTTACAAAAATTTATTTCGTGCATAATATGTGCGCATGTATGTTTATAATTTATAAAAAATGCTTTTGAAATAGAAGGTTTTCAATGAGCTACGCGTCACTTCTTCATATTAACATCATTTATAAAACGGTTTATGAAACGCTTTAGCAATTCTCTTATTCAACATGGGTAATTTTACAAATGAACGTGGGTTATCAGCTTGGACCTTGACACGTGTTATCTCTTCATATGCCATACGCATCTCTTATAAACTTATAAACAAATTTAAATGCGCTATTACTGCGTACTCTTATTGATGTTATTTTTCAATTTTTTTCAATATAAACTTGTGCAATTACATCAGTAAAAAATATATGTATATTATAATCGCTGCGAATATAAGTTACACTCTTTATTTTGCATGCATCCCTTTATGTACAATTTATTTGTACAAAAAGATAAATAGACAATGTTGCACGTGTGGACTGGTATGCATACAGAAAATTGTATTCGTTATAACTTGGTTGTTAATTTTATAATTCTTGTTGATGAAAATATGTTAAGGGAGAAAACTATCAAAGATAAAAAATAATACAATATTTTATGTATTAATTTTTTGTTGTTGCAAGAAACAGCCAATTAATAACTGGTAAAAATTTGAACAAAAGATCCTCGTCTTAGTTTTTTTTTTCATTATATGATTTAACAGCATTACCTCCAGGAGTAAATCAAATGTCGCATCGATCGACACCAAGAATACCATCACCACCGCCTAGATCTTCGTCATACGGAACGAGATACAGCAGTGGTCATTCCGGCTCCAGAAATACCATGGGTGACGGGTCCATTTTCAATCGTTTATTCGGTAACAACCGTCATCCTCGGCCGACCAGCTCTATCAGAAGCACTACACAAGCAAACGGAAACAATTATTACAATACTCACACTCACGTGGACAGTCACGGGAACAGAGTCTGGACATTTTCTGGTTAAAATTTATTTACATGTTCCGTTACTTTAACTTCGTTTACTTCTAATTTTGTTAATATAAAATGGGTGCCAATATTGATGTTTATATCATTTACATATAACATTGAATTATATTCCTTCAGTCTATGGAATAATGAATGCAATGTAATAATTATGAATAATTAAAATAAACTTTATAAAAATTATAAATTTTTGAATAATACAGTTGTAGACTGTAATACGTTTAAAATTATATTGGCTTGCTGATAATTATCTTGTTGATAAGCTTTTTTAAGATAAAATTGTGTTCATAATATATAAAATCGTAAAACTGCTTTATTAAATTGATATTTCATAAAGAATTTGTGCTCTTATGTGATACTCATGCTAATTAAAAGATATATATATATATATATATATATATATAATTTCAATAATAGCATCGACGCTTTTAATTGATTGTATCTATAACATAAGAGCACAATTTTTCTTTATGTAATATTAATTTAATGAAGCAGTTTTACGAATTTATATATTATAATCACAATTTTGCTATCATTTGCTTTAAGATGTCAAATAAGGCACCTTTGCTTCAATTAACTTAGCCATTCAATACTCTAAAGGATGTGCACGCATACAAATAAAAATTTAAGTCTGCGCTTATGCATGTGCATATAAAAATTTCTATCTCTTCAGAATGTCTAACAGTGCAATACAACTTATAACAATTAGTTAAAAAGTAACTTGAATATCTTACGAATAAGTTTGCAATGCGTGCTATAGTCCAAACTTTATTTTTTGCGTACGTGTGCATGATATAAATGTTAAATCCAACAATTGGCGATATTTCTTGATAAAAATATGATTATGCAATTTTCACAATTATACAATTATTAAAATTTCACCTTTATACCTTTTAAATACTTTTTGTGATTGTTACTGTATGCAGAGAATAACGAAATGAGGACCCGAACAGTTTCAAAACGACAAACTAGTTATCCAACGGAAACGGAGACACGTGGCTCTACAGATACTTCTAAAAATTCAGGCGGCCAATCTTATCCTGCTGGATCTTCCAATTATCCATCTGGTTCGGGATATCCCGGTAATAGCGGTTACCCAAGTTCCGGATCTTCAACAGCTTCTGATTCAACAAGTCCGCGATCTGGTTATCCAATCAATAATTCTGCCGGCTATCCATCGACTGGATCATCCAGTTATCCGAACAGTGGGTCGTCCGGCTATCCGTCCAGCGGATCATCTGGTTATCCGACCGGTGGGTCGTCCGGTTATCCGTCTAGCGGATCATCCGGTTACCCGTCCAGTGGATATCCGTCTAGCGGATCGTCTAGTTACCCGTCCAGCAGATCATCTGGTTACCCGTCTAGCGGATCATCCGGTTACCCGTCTAGCGGATCATCGGGCTATCCATCCAGTGGATCATCTGGATATCCGTCTAGCGGATCGTCCAATTATCCATCCAGTGGATCATCCAGTTATCCATCTAGAGATAGTTCTGGTTATCCGACAGGCTATCCAAGTAGAAGTAGCGGTTCATCGGGATATCCAGATAATTCTAGGAATTCTTATAACGAGGAAACTGTTAGACGAACCGGTGTTAACACTGTAAATGCTGGCTACCCCAATTATCCACACACATCCGTATATCCAGAAGGAAATCCGCCATACCGTGGTAACTATCCCGCTCAAAATACCGGATATCCGTACAATAATCAACGTCCTCCGTATTCTAATCAAGGTTATTCAAACGGGGGTTATCCACAAAATTATCCGCAAGGAGGATATTATCAAGGTCAGAATTATATGACTACTACCAAGCGTCCTGGCATTCAAGAACAACTGACAAATTTTGCACGAAACGTGGCAGGGAAGGTGCTAACGCAAACAATACTAGATCGCATTACAGGCAGACATCAATAAAGATAACAGTACTATTTTGTTCTCTATAAAATCTGCGTAAAGATGTCCAAAAATATAGCACTTTCTAAAATCTAAAGAAAAAGTCATTGTTACTGTAACATGATAATTTTAAGCATTAAATATTTTAGCAAAAATCTAGTCTTAAGTTAATTTTCGAGTAATAACAAGATAGTTTAATTAAAAGTTATCAAGAATATACAATATATACAGAAGCTTTTTATAAGTTTCTTTCTTATATATTAAAAATTCGTTAAATTCTCTTGATATTTTATTATTTTATGTAATTTGAATTTCAATTACTATGTTATAACTACCATGTTAAAAAATTAATGCAATAATTTAGGTTGTTTCACACTTCGCAGATATATTTTTTGCAAATTCTAGGAATTAGGAATTTCTTAATTAATAGATATATATCTCCATGTGTTAAAGCCTGTTTTTAGAGTTTTCTTAATACACAGTTAAATAATTTGAACTAAACGTATTGTATAAGCACATGGATATTGTAACAATAAAATTTATGAAAGTAAATCTCGATAATAGAAATAACAAAGTAAATTGATTAATGAGTTTTAAATTATTTTTTATCCTTCAAACATACGTGTACATAATATAATAAAGTAATTTGCAAAACATAAAAATATATAGATTTTATAATTCATCTCTTTCTTGAGAAAATTCTATTTTTCTCACACTTCCTAGAAACAGCGGTATTCTGCTTGGTTTATGTTCAATTGCGAACAAGAACGGACGATCCACCATGAACTCCATTGGTAAAATTGCCATTCTTTTCAGTCTCATTCCCACAACTGTAGCCAATAGTTGTTTATTTTAACGCTTGTAACATTTTTATTTAATTTTTTTTTTTATTTGTAGATGAATAAATTACCTGTCGCGGCAGCCGCTTCCGAACCTTCTTCGTTAATTTCTATGAAAATTTTTTGTAATGCTTGGCTTACTTTCAGAGGAATGTTTGAGAGACGTGTAAAATCCGCATCATCTTCAAAGATTGTATTTAAGCCGATCTACAAGTATTTATCTACATATTTCTTCCTTTGTCTCAACTGTTTAAAATGTATTTCATAAATTCTACTGCTTACCTTACGTAAAGAGTCTTTCAAATCTATGGTAATTTCAAACTTAAACTTAGGTAGATACAATGCAACTTCATCGATAAATCTAGGTGCATCTGCCAATGTTTTCCAGTTAAAATTATTTTCTAACATCTGCAATTCTATCTCTCTATCTGGTAATAATATTATCATTACAATGTCTTGATTCTGCAAACAAATTGTTCCTCAAATCAATTTTTATTTTTGCAAGAGAGAAAGATAAAGAGCGTAATTTTTTCTTTTTTTATAGATAATCACTTACCAAGTATGGAATTTCAATAAAAGTCGCATGCCAAGTTGCTATTTTACCATAAGCATATTTTGATGTTTTAAACATTGTCGGAACAAGATTTGTTTCTGTTTTGGAAACATGAAATTGGCGCATTACTGTATTCGTCTTATCAAACGTGTGCAGCCAATTACTTTTAAAGTAAACAGCATTTATTAACATAATTCTTGTATCCTTATCGAGATCATCTGTTCAAAATAATGTAATTACTAAAAATGTTTTGTACAGTGGTAATCTATATAGGAATTATTAATTATATAAGTGAGATGTACCAAAAGAAATTATGTCAAATATCTTATTATTTGTTGCTTTTTGAATCCATGAATTAATAGTTTTTACAGCAAGTTCATTATCTTTGAAGTCCAGCCTTGATACTGAAGATTGAAATATATTTATGCATATTGCTAAAAATTCAGCCATTAAATCAAATCCATCTTGAATGTATATCTTATTTGCTATATGCAATTCAATATTTTCAATGTCCTAAAATATACATTTAAATGTATATAATGTAATTTTTCGAGAAAAATGAGGTATCCCGATGTTTTTCTTAATCTTACATTCAACAAGAGAGCCAGAGTCTTAAACTCATCGTTCAAAGAAACTACTTCATCATCGTGATGAAGAACAGATTTCAGTTCATTTAATGTAAATCCTCCAGCGCCATTAGAAAGTAAAGATAATATCATATGCAAGCTCAAAGGAGAAATTATAACGTTGCTGTCAGTGTTGATTGATAAACTCTATAATGAAATATAAATTAGAAATTATAGAAAAAATTATATATATATAATAGAGTACAGTTACATAAAATATAAAAATATTTAACATACATAGTTACATACCTTGTATAATGGAATCGTAAAATTATTACATGCTGTAGATAGGGTTTTAATATCATTTTGCTGTCCACTTAACGACATGTTTTGACAAGACAGTGCTACCTGGTGCACTACACCAATAATGATCGCAAACAAAACTACAAAGAAAATGTTTAGTTAGGTTAGGATATAAAATTATAGGCTATTTAAAAAATGGACTGCACAGTCAGAAATTTGACAATTAAAATTTTTTTAAAAAGTTTAGAAATCTGAAAATTTTGGAAAAGAATTGACGTATCATAGAGGTATAATTCAATATATTTGAATCGAGCTTTTCTGTTTCTAAGATAGGTTAGGTGTTAGCTACGTTGGACTTGCGTCAGCTGTTAAGAAGCTATATCTGTCAAATTGCAAAGAAAAGCTGCACGCGATTTCGATCTTACGGCAGATTTTAATTCAACAATGTTGATTTTTAATTTTCCGAGAAATGCTCTATATGGGATTTCCAGAGCGCCTGCGATACGATTATGTTTTTTTTTTTATTCCTTCTGTTCTGTCTTACTCTTGTTCCGAATAAGAATTGGGGCTTCTGACTACAAATCAAACTTCGTAGAAAGTTTAGACGACCAATATTCCAGTGGCTTTTATATAATAACAGTAATGAACATATTGAAATAACAATGAATAATGATCCTTAGAAATTTAATGCAAAAATGATATAAAGATACAAAATCGTTCGTGCTACACCATGCAGATCTACATAGCCGATTACCGGTGGTTGCCGCCGTTGTCGACTAACGGTGTCAAATAGTCAGTATATTACATGAGTTATACTGTATGTATACCTATATACGTATACATATTATATGTATACTGCGCATCATTGCAGAGGAGCAATAAATCGCTGGGTCACACAAACTGGTGATTTTACCGACGTGTCTAATTTGTCTGACATGTCGGTAAGTTCATCGGTCTACGTGACCCAGCGATTCATTGCTCCTCATTGCAGTGCATATACGATCATGTATGTGCCAGGCTAGCTGCTCACAGGTCTCACAGTACACTCCATCTTTGTTGTTTATTATAAATGTAAATAAGGACAAATGATGCTTATTGTTAGTTATATAAGCGCTATAAATCAAACGCACCTGCTTATGTATGTATATGTACAATTAATTAATTTTTTCGATCTATTGCAAGAGTGGTATTCGTAGATCACCATATTTATAGTATCATATATCTAATATTGGCGTCTAAGAATAGATTCATTATCTCAATGAAAATATAACCGTGTACGTATTACTGCGATGCAGTATATATAATTGTATATACTATATAATATGTCTCGAGAGAGATTGTTTATTTTTAGTTTTTACTAAATTAAAATTTTAGGTAGACGCGCAACTTGTAAATTTGTAAATTTTAATTTCTTTCAACTTAAACATAAAAATTATATTGATATTAGCTGGTATAATAAAAAAACAAAAAGAATATATCTCATCTTTGAGGAAGGATATAATTACATTATATAATATATTATATAGTTTCTTT